TCCTTCCTTCCGTCACAGATCTGTGCATTCCCCCCCCCCATAGCTAGCAATCCAAAACAGTCCAGTGGAGCCTGAGCAGTGAGTGCTGCCTTCTGACACACTTCCGGTGATGTCAGGGGGTGTGACATATGCAAATAAGTTATGCCAATGAGTTGTGCTAATAAGCTCCTGTACCTCTTTTTCTGGAGCTGTGGTGGCTCAAATGGTTAAGACGCTGAACTGCAGGCTGTGGAAGGTCAGTAGTTCAGCAGTTCAAGACCCGGGTGCCGCATGATGGAGTGAGCTCCCATCTCTAGTTCCAGCTCCTGCCAACCTAGCAGTTCGAAAGCAAGAAATTGCAAGTAGATAAATAGGTACCACTTTGGTGGGAAGGTAACAGCGTTCCGTGCGCCTTGGTGTTTAGTCATGCCGGCCACATGACCACGGAAACGTCTTCGGACAGCGCTGGCTCTTCGGCTTTGAAACGGAGATGAGCACCGCAACCCTAGAGTCGGATTCGACTGGCTTTCGAGCAAGGGAACCTTTACCTTTACCTCTTTTTCTACTAAGTGACCCCTGGAGGGAAGACACTTCAAAAGTTTGGAAGAAGCATCACCTAGATTTTAATTGACAAATGAATGTGTCAATGGGTGGCACTGTGGGGTGATGTGAGGAAGAGTACTATAGAAATATCCTTAATTATTGTTTGGTATAGTGATGATGAAGTTATGCAGCCCTTGTGACTATTTCGCCCACAGAGACAAGGCAGTACTTCAAGCAAGTACATTCTATTATTTTTCGACCCTGTGTGCAGATTCATCCTCTGCACATATTAATGCATTGACACCCTACACTTCTTTGGTTCTTTTCCCTCTTGTACCCCCAAATCGAGCCTCTGAGGTAAGCTGTGGAGGAGGAGACAGACAGACTAGCCCAATGTTACCCAGTGAGCTTCATGGCTGAACGCAAGCCTCCCTGATACAAGTTTCACCTCACACTTTCTATAGTTTTTAGTTTGTAAGCTTGTGGGCAAGCTTTGTAAGTGCACATCCATTTACTATACTTGCATAGTGCCTACTGGTGCTCAAATATTATGATTATTACTACTTCTAGTTCACTCTGCTGAATACACAACACAAGCCCACTTGTTTTTAGATGTACAAGAACAACTACGCAAGAGATGAGACCTCTCTATCACTGTAATATTAATATGGACCCTTATTAGTCAACCCTTATTAGTTTATGATACTGAATCCAATCCTGTGTCTATATATTTTGATGACAATGACTCCAGGGAAACACAGATTAGTCTTCAGTGTGTAAACATGGTTCTTTAAAAAAAGATATTTAGAGCTGATAAACCGCATTTCAGACAAGCTGCGGAAAAGCCAAGAGACCAAAGCTTTGTATTCTAAGCATGATAAACAGATGCAATCAATTCCCCAGCGCATGACCTGTAGCGACAGAATTCTCTAGTGTTCTTGTAAAGCTGCTGCTTCACAATGTAATTAGATGACCATGGATACAAAAATCTGAATGAACAGACAACCTAGCTTAATTCCTTCAGAACT